GCCCTTCCTCTTGAGCCTGCCCTCCTGCTCACAAGATGGCTGCCATAGCCCTGAGCACTACTCATCCCTTTTGTTTGAGTAGAAAACTTTTCCTTTTACCTGTTGTTGGCTGAGGAGCTTGGACACATGACCAGCTGCTGGTGGAGGAGAAAGGGGAGTGGACACAATGGCTTCCTGGTCTAGCTGGGGCCCCAGCTGTGGATACCTGGCTTTTATTAGCAGAGGAGGAGCGATGCCTGTTGGTTGACAGTCAACCTTTGTGTCACCTCAGCTTTGCTGATACTTTCGTGCAGAGGAAGTAGGGAGACCCAGAGCAGGTTCTCTCAACAGAGTGGCACCTTCCTGGGGAAAAGGCCAGTGTATATTTTAGAGCACTTAAGCCCTTGATGGGTATTAAACATGAGTCACCACCCTGTAGATTTGCACCACACTTACTTTCATAAAACCTTCTGGTATTTTGAAAGGCAGAATCACCAGGTGTTTATTTAAGAACACGGAGCTCCAGTGCCTGGTTCTCTTGCTGGGGGACCTTGTGCAATTTATTTAACCTCTCTGTGCATGGGTCTGTCGCCTGCAAAATGAGAATAATAGCTGAGTCCACCTCAAGATTGTCCTGAGGTTAATGAATACATACTAACGTACACACACTCCCTGTCTTAAACAGTGCTCAGCACACACCAAGCACTCCTTCGTTTGCAGTCACCACTATCAGTATTATTATTAATTATTATTATTTTTGGTACTATGGACTGAACCCTGGGGGTGCTTAACCATTGAGCCACAACCCCAGCCCTTTTTATTTAAAAATTTTTAAATTTTTTTTTTAATTCTAGTTGTAGATGGACACAATATCTTTGTTTAATTAATTTATTTTTATGTGGTGCTGAGGATTAAACCCAGTGCCTCATACATGCTAAGCAAATGCTCTACCAGTGAGCCACAACCCCAGCTCCCCAGCCCTCTCTTTTTTTTTAATATTTATTTTTTAGTTGTAGTTGGACCACCTTTATTTTATTTATTTATTTTTATGTGGTGCTGAGGATCGAACCCAGGTGCGAGGTGAGCAATCTGCCACTGAGCCACAACCCCAGCTCCGCAGCCCTCTTTTTATATTTTATTTTGAGATATTTGCTAAGTTGCTTAGGGCCTCACTAAGTTGCTGAGGCTGGCTTTGAATTTGTGATCCTCCTGCCTCAGCCTCCCAAGTTGCTGGGATCACAGGTGTGTAATGATCACATTCACCACTGTCATTATTTATCGATCCTATCACTCCTTCCAGATAAGAACGATGAGAATTTTAAGAGTAGAGAAGTTGGTGGCTTGCCTACACTCCAGGGGCTGGGAGGGAGCAGAGAATGGGCTGTGGCTGTGGAGGTAGGTGCCCGGCCAGCCCTCCCACCCTGCCCGACTTACTCAGCTGCTGGAGGCGCCTGGTGGCTGAGTATTGTCTCCTAGCTGCCTCCCAAACCTATCGTGAATGGTCCCAGAGAAGGCCCTTGAGACCTGTGCTTTAAGGTCTCAAGGGCCTGCAAACCTGACACCAGGGACTGGGAGAAGGTTCCAGGCCAGTGGGTTTGATGGGGGAGGAGCTGGAGGAGGCACTCCCACTGGGAAGTGCTCCCTTGGGGCCCAGAGACTGAAGGTCGCCTGCTCCTGCCATTGAAGGAAGGCCCAGGGTGGGTTTTCCCAGCTGCAGGTGGACGCGTCAAGAGGCTCAGCGACCTGAGAGCCCCCAAATGCACATTTTAGGAAACTGCTGTTTGAGCAGTAAGTGTCAGCAGCATAAAAATGAATACAAATCAATTTGTGTCTGGCTTTGCTCTCAGAATTCCCTGTGGACTCTCTAAAATGCCATTTTACCTCTTTTCCACCCATCTAGCTGTGGAGGCAGTGGGAGATTTACATTATTTTACATTCAGTTAGGAATTTTTTTCCCCTCACGGTTATGTTTTTAAGAACATTTATTGCCTATAAAGAGGTGTTTTTGTTAAAGACAATAGAGCCCGTTAGGTAGTAACAGATTGTTATTTCGCAAATACCTATAAAACTATTACCTGAGCCAGGATCGTAGGGCTCTGATTAAAAGGTGCTTCCATTCATCTCTATCTTGGAAGCCCCTGTGGATGAGCGCTCACTGCCACCCTGGGATACCCCTGATGGAGATGCCACGTCGGGTGTGGACGCAGCCTCAGGCCTGGTGCTTATGTGCATTCTGCAGCCATGTATGTAGGACTCCAGCCGAGCACTGCCCACAGCCAGGTCTCAGACGGGAGGGTTCTCAGGCAGTTGCTGGGCCCCAGAGGAGCAAGGGCCAGGGTGCAAGAAGGGTCAACACCGTAGCCCAGGGTAGGATGGTGGCACCAACTCTATAGTTAGGCACATCAGGCTTGCTTCCTGGCTCTGTCACTTACTGGGTTTCCTGGAGCAAGCTACTTAGTCCTTCTGGGCCTTGCTTTTCTTACTCTCAAATGAGGGATCCTTGCTAGGATGCTGGGAGGATTCAAAGAGGTTTGCCCTGGGGTGTAGTTCAGAGATGGAAGGCAACCTTAGCATGCTCAAGGCTCTGGGTTTGCTCCCAGCACCAAAAGAAGAAAGAAAGAAAGGAAAAGGAAAATGTATGTCTTGAAATGTATTTGGCAGAGGTTTTGGCCACAATAAATATTGTTTAACAAAAAGGGGGGGAAGGGGGGGAGATGAGGGACAGGATGTGGATGTGAGGCTTCACCTCGTTAGATCCTTCTGGACAGTCTGCCCAGTGGTGTTCCCCTTGCCCAGCTTCTCCGCGTCTAGAGTTTTGTTTGTGAACTGAGAAGCAGTGAATCCTTTGCTGGTCTGTGGCTGAGCCAGAAAGTATGTTCTCTGAGAGCCGGCCAGAGCCCCTCTGCCCAAGTGTGGAGACCTGCCTGGCCCAGACTGAGTCAACCCGGGAGTTCAGGGTCCGCTCACACTGAGCCTTCGTCCCTGGGCCAGAACTGGACCCGGGTTTCCTCTTGTGTTATTATAAACAGGATGGTCGCGGCAGGTTTTTAAATCACCTGTCGAGTCCTTTGGGGGCATTTATAACAAAGTACCACAAACAAGGTGGCTCATAAACATCAGAAATGTGCTTTTCACCTTTCTGGAGGCTGAGAAGTCCAAGGTCAAGCAGTGTCAGATCCCGTGACTGGTGAGAGCCTGATATCTGGAGGATGTGCCTTCTCCCTCTTCATCCTTGTAAGCCCCTGAGAATTGGCTTCACCATGGTTACTGACTCCTCAAGGTCCCGTGACACTGGGCAGAATGAACCACCGAGCACTCAGACATGTGACTGGTGACGAGCAGCTGGGAGATGTGACTTAAGGACCACTGATGGGGACGTGAGGCCTCTGCCGTGCTGATGGTGGTTCTCAGGGGCACGTCTGCTCTTCGGTTGTTCCTGTGTTGCAATCCTATCCCACCAGGAGATTGGACGTAGAGGCGGCACCTTCTGGAGGTGAATCCGTCTCTAGGGAAGAGGCCTCCGTGATGGAATTGGTGGCCTCAGAGCTATTGTGCCCTGCCCCCATCATGAGGGGCAGAGGAGCCAAGTGACTGGCTCCAGGAACACAACTTGCCCAGCCAAGAGCTACCCCAGGTCCAGAGGCCTCCTGTCCACATGGGTGGTCTGCAGTCACCTGTCACCAGTTACGGTTTTAAATGCTATGTGGCTTGGTGGGTTCACTGTCACAGAACCCTCAGGAGTCGGTCACAGTTATTCCCACTTTACAGCAGAGAAGCCGAACTACAGAGGGTTAGCCAGCTGGCGAGGGGTGGGCAGGAACTGAAGTCAGGGATAAATGGCTGGCACCTTCCTCCTCACCATGACAGAGACGCTGAGCGTGTAGTCCTGCTGGTCAGTGTGGAGGGAGCCTCTGTTTCCCGATGAGGGCACACTGTGTCAAGGACAGCAGACCATGGCATCGACTCGATAAGTCACTGCTGCCGTTGTCTTCCTTCCCAGCAGCTCCAGAATGCATCCTTTCACTTAATCTCCTAACAGCGCTCAAGGGGCACGAACTATTATTATATGCACTTCAAAGTTGAGGTGATCCTAAGGATCCTCGTGCCCCGTAATTTCTTCCCATTCCCATTATTGGATCATTTTATAGTCCTTCATGAACCCCGGGCCCAAATCCATGAAATAATTGTGCATTTTGTACCCTCTGCCTCCATGATCACCAAGGTGCCCGGGAACCTAAACTGTGTCACGCTACTGACGCAGATCCCGGCCCTCCCCTGGATCCCGTTCGCCAAAGTCAACCTGAACTTGCTTTCAGATGCCTTGTGAGACAGCCCTCCATTCTGTTCCCACACACGAGCCTTCCTTCCCCCATTAGTCTGATTTTGAGGTTTCGCTGCACTGGGAGAATTAAATGACAAAGTAATGGCACTGAAATGTAATTAATGCAGGAATAATAGTACAGGGTGGGGAATCTCAGTATTTTAATGAGGGCTCAGACACGTCTGACTGAAGGTGTTGAAGTGGAGGGGAGATGAATGCTACCATAATTAATGATGCATATTAAGAATTGACCTCTTTGGTGTGATCAATACGGGGACCTCGTAACCTTTCCTGTCACCCGGAACTTTACTTGTGGGACTCTGTGGTTCTTGTTAATAAAAAAGATAATCACCAGTCTGCCCTCATTTACTGTGGAAACTTTCCAAATTTTTTTTTTTTTTTGAGGATGAAATTAGAAATCGCCATTTTTGGAATATTTATGTGTATGTATTTTTTTCCTCCCAGATCTATTTATTCAATGCTTGCTCTATAATGAGAGTTTTAACTTTCTGTTTTCCTTTCCATTATCCCTGAAAAGAATGGATTATGGAGAAAAGATTAAAGTAGTATAATGCGCTACGGTGTTTGCTAATGTGCTGTCGGAGGTATTAGTAGGGCTCGCTGAAGCTTGTGTCTTTTATGAATGCCTTTCAGATCGCAATTATCTAATAGACTTGGAAACCTGTTTGTATTCTTGCAGGCATTAAATGTCGTCTTTGAAAAAATCCCAGAAAACGAGAGTGCAGATGTCTGTCGGAATATTTCAGTCAACGTCCTTGACTGCGATACCATAGGCCAAGCCAAAGAAAAGATTTTCCAAGCGTTCTTGAGCAAAAACGGCTCTCCTTATGGACTCCAGCTCAACGAGATTGGTCTTGGTAAGGCGCTGTGGGAACTCTGCCCTGATCCCCTGATGAGTGCCCGCCTTGCCTTTGCTCTCTTCCTGCCCTGTAGCTTCTGTTTGGCAAAGCTTATGTGGGCCAGTTTGTCCCCAGAGGGCATGTCTGGGGGCCAGGGGACTACTTCACTCTCTCACCAGCATTGTGACTCTGCCTAGCCAGCAGAATCCTTCTGAGATGCTGTTTTTTTTAAATATTGTGTTTGTAAATCAGATTCATGAGATTGCTGACCCTGAGACCAAATGGAACCACCTTGCATCAGGAAGTACAAAGAGGTGTAAACCCCGTGCCCTCCCTGTGTGTTGCATTTCACATTGGCATTTGATTTGTTTGTTGTGATACGGAGCATGTCATTAGCGGGTGTCTCAGCCGCTGAGTGTTAACTCCAGCATGCCGGAAAGGTCATCTTCCTCTCTGTGCTAATCGCAGGCTGCATTAAGTATCTTCTCCATCCTCCCCCAACCCACAGCAGCATCTGCTATGAATTCATTTGCGGGCTCTCTGGTATACTGCAAAGGAGAGCATATGCGTGAGCAGGCTAACAGGGCTCCGCTCCCCTCAAATGTTCATCAACATTTTAAAAGTTGAGCTTTGCGCAGGCCTCCTGGGAGATCGCTGGGGGGTTGTAGAGCAGATAATGGGACAGGAAAGCAGCAAAAAAAAGTGGCAGTGACAGACAGCATAACAAGGTTCATCTCCCCTAGACGTGCCGTTGTAGGCCTCGACTAAGCAGGCAATTAAAATCTTCCCCCTCCAATCAAACCTGCTAGAGAAGAGCCTTGAGGCGGGGTCTGGGAAGTCTCTGGGAGACCCTGCAAATGTGCAGTGACTGCTCAACCTGCTTCAAAGAAAGCAGGGTGTTGGGCCACCTTTCTCTACTGCTTTTCTTTTTCCTTCCATTGGATAGACTGCTGGGCAGCTCAAAGACAGTTTCAACTTACTTGCTTACAGACTGGGTAAAAGGGGAGCCCCAGCCAGGAAACCATGGCTTAATCAGACCATCAGCTCCCTCACCTTGAGTATGTGTCTTGCAAATGTGTGGCTCTGACCACTTAGGACGTGGGCACACCCAGTCCAACAACCACAGGGAAAACAGCCTCAGGACTGCCACTAATGAGCCCCGTGGTAGTACCGGTGGCGTCTTCCCACTTTGCCTGGATTTTTTTTCAAAAAATCCCCTTACCTCCTAAAGTAGGAAGGCAGGGACAAAAACAAGCTGGTGGCATTACATTGTATGCTGATAAGCGGGGACACAGCCTAGAGGCCATGTCGCACTTCTGCATGCCTGCTGCTCTTCCAAACTACCTCCAAGGATGGTCTCAGGAAACTGAGGCAAAGCCTTAGAAATCAGCCATAAATTGTACTGAAACCCAGTCCTTTCTGGGATGCTCAGACCTCTTTCAGTAGAGGCTCAGAGAGAGATGCCCAAAGGGGCAGGAAGTATGTAAATAGGAATGTCACACCCAGCGCAGTAGGAAATAGTGGGGTCTGACTTGGGAAAGGACTTGCCATCTAAGAGAGAGCCACTTGGCTTCAGCCGAGGGTTGCCATGCAGGCTGCAGGGTTAGTGTTACCTGATTATTACCTGATTTTTTTAAAAAATTAATTTTTTCTTCAGTGCTGGGGATTAAACCCAGGGCCTCACATGTGCCAGGCAAGTTGTATCACTGGTTGCACCTCCAGATGTCATGTAGCTCTCTCCCTCAATCCCTTTTCTCTATCCCTTCAGTGTCCCTTCAGTTCTAGCAGTCCCTGGACAATAGGAGCTTGTTTTTTTGTTTTTTTGTTTTTTGGTGGGGGGGACTGGGGATTTAACCCGGGGGTGCTTACCACTGAATTACCTCCCCAGTTCTTTTTTTTAAAATTTTGAAACAGAGTCTCACTAAGTTACTGAGAGTCTCTCATTAGTTTGCTGTCCTTGAACTTGAGATCCTTCTGGCCTGGGATTATAGGCATGTGCCACCATGCCTAGCAGTCCCTGATTTTTAAAAGGAGAAATCAGGAGTCCACATTTTTTTGTTTAATCTCCTAATATTTAAATGTGGAAGTTAAATTGATGTTAACATAATAATTCAAACACTGCAGGTTCAGGAAATTTAAAAAAAACAAAAACAACAACACATTAGTAGCCACATTCTGACCTTCGGGCACAAGCTGGTCACCCTGTGGGGAGTTTGCACCCTGTTTTACTGGTGGCTGCACAGCACCTCCCCTGCAAGAACCTGCAGAGAGTTCATATTGCACCTTTGTTGGTGAAAATGTGTTCATATGTGTGTGAATATTGGAAATTTTCTGAAGCACTTAGACCCTTGGAGGATGCCTGGTTGTGTCTTCAGTGGCTTTACTTCCAGGCTTAGCCTCAGCGTGAAAGCTTCGGGGAGAAGCAGACTGAAATGTCAGAGCCCTGAACACAGACCAGAAACAAAACAAAGCTCAGGCTGCCAGTCTGGCTGATGCGTCTCCACATCTTCAAAGCTTTACCACTTCATTCAAATTTTATTTTTGAAATATACGTGTGAAAATAGCAGGAGAGCATTTACATATTTTTATTAATTTTTTTTTTAGTTGTAGATGGACATAATACCTGTATTTTATATGTTTATTTTTATGTGGTGCTGTGGATCCAACCCAGTGCCTCATGCACTCAGGGCAAGTGCTCTACCACTGAGCCACAACCCCAGCACCACATTTAAGTTTTTCATCATGATTTTAAAATGGAACAAAATGACTCCCCCTTTCCTTTTTCAGAGCTTCAAGTGGGCACACGACAAAAAGAACTTCTGGATATTGACAGTTCCTCTGTGATTCTTGAAGATGGAATAACCAAGCTGAATACCATTGGCCACTATGAGGTAAGAGTGAGACTTGACCTCGACATTTACTTCTTCTTAACCCAGCTGAATTGGATGACCTCCAGTACCAGGTAAATTCTTCAAAAAATAAAAAGAAGGGGCTGAGGCTGTGGTTCAGCAGTAGAGCACTCACCTAGGCGCTGCGTTTTCGATCCTCAGCACCACATAAGAATAAGTAAATAAAATAAAGGTATTTAAAAAAATCACATCAATCTTAAAAAACAAAAAACAAAAAACAAAAAAACAACCAGGACTCCCACTTACTTTCTGGAATAGTTGTCAGATTGCTGGTTTCTGGGACAGAAGTTTTCCTTGGTTGCTCATTCAGAGGAGCCCAGGAATTGCTGTCCCTTGTGGTACACTCGGAGGTCTTCTGTTTTCATGCTGCCTGATCACTCCGTCCTGCAGTTTAGATGGGAAGTTCTGGCCTGATGAGATGGTCTGGCCTTGCAAAGTGTGTTCCTAGGAAAGACAGAGGTTAGCTGTCACACACACGTGACGGCCACATGCCAAGTGTATTGATGCCAACAGAGCCTGTGAAAGCCCCAGTCCTCACCTCACTCCATGGTGTTCACAGCAGATCTTGAATCCTTTTGTGTCTGGCCCTCATTCTAAAGAAGTTCTCAACTTTCTGTGTGTTTGCAATATGCAGTGGTACTTCCTTTAGCCCTTGACTGTTCTGCTGGGTGAAGGCTGAGGGAGTACGTGACTCTCCCAAGACGTGAGTGCCAGAGAAGCCTGTGCATGGCAAGGAGGCAGGGAAAGTTCCTGAACACACTGGACACTGGGATTTGTTCAGCAGCATTAGCCACGTCTTTGTTGAGGGTCTGTTACGTGCTAAGAGCTGGGAATGCACAGGAGAGGAGCGAAAACCAGGTCACACTGAGATAAGGTGCCAGCACATCCAGCAGACAAGGGACGCGTGTGTATTCAAGAGACAACTTTGGACTGGTGGAAATGGTAGAAGGGTTCTGGGTGGCAGTAAGAGCTGATAATATCGGGGCTTAGGGAGTGCTCATTCTGGACCAGGTTCTGACTTCAATGTTAACCTTTATTTTGGCTCATTCCATCTTACGGCAGTCCTATGAGGTCGGTTCCATTGCTTATAGATAGGTACGCTGAGGCTCAGACCTGTTATTTAGGCAGTAACTGCTTCTCCAGAGAAAGGCCAGAGAAGTTGGAGGGGGTGCTAAGAAGGGGAAATGCAGATCCTTCAGGCCTGTTCAGTCTCTTAGGAGTTTGCATTTTACCCAAGGACAGCAGATCACAGGAGAGGGCCTTTAGCACGGGAGACTTGTGTTTCAGAAAGTGATTGTGGTGGGCATGGGATGTGCACAGAAGAGCTGCAAAGCTGGAAATAGGGAGCCCCGCTGGAAGCTGTGGCAGAATTTCAGATAAGGGATGAGGCTGTCCACAGTAATGCAGTGCCGTGGAGATGCCCTGGGGAATGGATTCTGAGGGGCTCAGGAGGTGGATGCTACAAGCCACCTGGGAGGGAGATGAAGTCAGGGAGCGGTGGAGGCTGACACTCAGGCGTAGCAGGTGCTTTTCCACAGATAGCTTAGAGCTGTGTTTCACGGCTCAGAAATCCCAGGGAGATGGGCCCACGCTAGGCAGGCCTTTGAGCTCTGCCCTCAGCCAGCCAGAAGCTGAGACTATTCTAGAGCCAAGGTTTCTGGACAGCAGCCAGGAAGAGAGAACACCCATCCTTGGGCTCTATGGCTGAGCAGGTCTCAGACTCAGTTTGGAAATGGTTGCCATGGTGACACCTGAGCCAGTACTGCCCTCCTGGCTTTGCTGGAGAAGACCTCACAGAGGAAGCTGCAGAATCACAGCCTGCTTCCGAGCTCAGTCCTCTGCAGCCTGGGTTTCCTGGCCTTGGAGTCATCTTTCCAAGAGCAGTCATTAGCTTTGAGGTTTTGTAAGACTCCCCAGAAAGCTTTATATATATATATCTATCTTTTTAGAACTAGGCATTGAATCTGGGATTTCAAACACTGTAGGCAAGCACTCTATCACTGAGCTGTGTGCCCAGAGCTATTTATGTTTTTATTTTGAAATGGGATCTTACTAAATTGCCCAGGCTGATCTCAAATTTGCAATCCTCCTGCCTCAGCCTCCCAAGTTACTGGGATTAAAGACAGGGGCCACCTTGCCCCGCTCCCATGCAGCTATCTAATAGTATGCATGGCTGGACTCGGGAATACAGGCATCGGTGGGCAGAGGGAGGGTCGAGTGGGAGGCACTGCCCTGCTGGGTGAAAGTGGCCAGGGAGGGGCTTATTATGGCACCGCTGAGAAGCTCTGAATTCCAGACCTGCAGGCCATCTCCTCCTTTCCCTGTGTCTGGGTGGCAAGCTTTTCTAGACATCAGGAAGGGGTGGAGCCACCAGTACCCCCTTTGATGCTCCTGGCTAGAATGTCTGCCTTGCTCAGCTGAACCTCCCCACTCTGTGCACCTGTGCAACACAGAGTGGGCCCCTCAGAAAGAGAGGTGGCCACTCGGTGCCTTTAGTAGGGAAAGGCAGGACAGGTCACTCCAGCGGGGAAAACAGAGGTACCACAGCTGTCCGTGAGGCACGGGGAGGGCCTGTCAGGGGAGATGGAACATCCCTCTTCACAGAGACATTGGCCGTGCTAGACACCTATCTGCTTAAGGATGATAATGAAATTAATCCGGCCGGTAGTCACTTCCCGTCCCAATGATTTATTGGCCTCATAGCCCAGCGTCACTGCATGGTGGTAATAAATGACAAGAGACTAGGACATGAGGGCTTAAAGGCTTCTCCTTATGTTTAAAAAGCTGAGCCATAAGGCAAATAGATGCAGAGAGCTTGAAGGAAACTGGAGGTCATCGGCTGCACTCTCTGAGCCTGGGCCATTTCCAAAGCCCTGTATTCTAAAGACTGGTCTAAGCAAAGCCTCTGCCACCCTCAGCTCCCTTGACCTGTGCTTGATGCAGTAGTGCCTCTGCAGATTCAAAATTGGGAATAATTCGACAGGGCTGGGCTGAAGTTTGCTTCTGCCCTTTCATGAAAGAAAAAATTTCTCCTCCAGCACTCGCTTTTCCCTCCAAAGAGACAAGATGCTAATTATCACTCTTATTCATTTACTAAAGCGCCCTAGTTTGAGTCACTGTAAGTGCTTGAAAGCAAAAAACTATATTTCATTTAAAAATAGGGTCTAATTCAGAGTTTTAAGTGATTCAGACTCACCTCCCTCCAATTAGTCCAAATTAGTTCGGTTTTAAAGTTAATCTTTACTGACGGCCAGTTCCTCCTCCTATCTAAACAAAGTCCCTGCTGTTGGAGCTGCAGCCCTGTTCTTCTTGCCTTGTTCTGCCCTTGGGGCGAATAGAGTGGAGCAGGTCTCCCCAGGATGACTGGCTCTTTGTATATTTGAAGAACAGGTTTCTAGAGGGATCTGAGGGATCTGCAAAAATATAGCATCTCCGTGGACCAGATGCAGTCCCCCAGATACCTACAGGATGGCACACAAGCCAATTCTGGCATTGCATGATGACAGCGGTGGCTGCCAGTGCCAAGCACCGTGGACACACACTGGCTTCATCAGTGTTCACAACCACCCTGTTCTTTTAGGCTGGAGCTGTTTGTCCCCTGGGCCGCCCCCCCCCCCCCCCGTTTTCCATCAGATGAACACAGGGGAGAGTGAATTTCTGCTCCAGTCTCCGTCAGTCTCGGACAGACAAGGGGTTAAGTGAGCTGGTGTCTTTCCAAACACATTAAGGCGGAGGCGGCTTTCTCCCTATAATTAAGCCTTTCCTTAAGTGCCTCTGTAACCGGCTTCGGCTCTGTGGGCTTGACTGTGAAGGGGACCATGCTGTTCTGGAGCAGGTGGGATCAGTGGCACGGGCTGCTGGCCCAAGTGGCTAATTTCTCTGCAGTCCAGGCTTCTTTCCTCTCCCCTGAGCCCTGTGTGACTTTCTGTGCTGTGTCATTGCACCCACACTGCCGGGGGGTGGTATCAAGGGTGCAGGGAAGGTATTTTGGGGGGCAGGAAGTTTCCTCTACAGATTACACCTCTTTTTCTGATAGTGCAAGGTTTGGGGAGGCAGAAAAGATGATGAATCTTGTGTGGTTGAAGACTGTTGCTCACCCCAAGAGTCGGCAATGCAGAAAGGGTCACTGCCAAGGCCACTCCTGCCATTCAAAAGATATTTAAAGCTCCTAGGAATGTCCCAAAGTGTCTCTTAGGGAAGGTTAGAGGTCCTTTCGGTCGGGTGTCATCTGTGATCCTAAAATGAAAGGATGAGCCACTTCTGCAGGTCTCTCGAAGCATGAATGCCTTGAGGTGCTTGTTTACATGGAGAGCACAGGCCACACTGCTGCCATGCTGGGCATGGTTCTAAAGGCTTTTACTAACAGCAACTCCTCTCATCCTCTTTTGTGCCCCGTGAGATGAATACTGCCATTATTCCCACTCAGAAGCCCAGAGAAGTGAGGAAACTTGGCCAAGGTCACACAGCTCCTCTCACTGATGCCCCAAGGCTGAATGCAGATGAAAAATGAATCACTGTAGAAACTGTGGCTTTCCTCGGGGCCAGAGGAATAAACTTACCCAGAGCCAAGCCTCCGGTTCCCAACCTCTAAGCAGCCTGGCTAGAGAGCTGGGCCTGATGAATGACATAGATACCCTGGTAGTTAATATCCTCTGACATTAAACTCAAAGGGCAACTTCTCTCAAGATCTTATGATGAATCTCGTGGCTGTGGGTTATAAAATGCTTCCTTGTTTCTGATCCCACTTTAACATCTCTTGTGACTAGCTGTCCTTGAAGATGGCAGTCACCTTCATCCGAGGGAGGCCAGCAGTACCAACCCTACCAACATACCCAGAACACTTCAGTTCCCAATTTCACATACCCTTGGAGGCCCAACTCCCTGAGGAAGGAAGAACCGAGGGTTCTCTCTCACAGACCCCGAAGGGAGTTTGCTCCTGGGCCCAGGGTTAATTTCAAGTCAACAATGGAGAAGCAGGAGCT